AGGGAAGAACTACAAGAGAGGAACCGACCCCTTAAAAATAAAAGACGAGAAATGGATTACGCCAGTCACCTTGGGTAATTTTTAAGCAAAGTGCTTTGCAGCAATATCACATGGATCAAAGGAAACGAAGAATGCAGAGGATTCTCATCTTTTTATTTTCCATAGAGCAGTGTTCACTATTTACTCAACACGTCACAAAATAGTAGTCCAACAAATATTGCATGTTTATTTGAAAGTTCTTCTGATACCTTAAGTGCAGAATAATGTTAATGGAAAAAGTAGTTTGAATAATCGGTGCTACAGTGGTCATAGGTAAATCAGGTATTTGATCTAGACTGAGATAAAGCCAAACCTAAATTTAGTTCAAGTTTAACACCAGATGTCAAGATGCAGTAGTTCCATGTATCGTTATTGAACCATGTCACCTCCTCTTACGCTTGTTACAGGTACAGGAATGGAGAGAACTTTAGGGAACAGCCTCACTCAATGGACAAACCCAGAGATGCTCGGGAAACCCTTCACCATGAGGACAGTTGGCATTTGCCACCACTTGTCATTGAACATGATCATGGCATTGGTGATATCAGACAAGTCCCTTGGTGGGACCAGTATGGAGATAACAGAGGTCTGGACACTAAGTTTGATCAGCGTCCCCGTCCACTGATCTCCCCGCCGGAACATTTCAGATCATCAGAAAGTAGGCTGGATGATCGGGAAGATGCACAAGGATACCATTTTCAGGATAATGGGAGAGACCCCAAATATCCTGAAAGTAGGAGTAGCCCTATGCTGCAAGACAGACCTATGAGATATGGTAACCGAGATGGTCCCGTGAGCTACAAGGGGAAGGGAGGTCCTCGTCCTCTGAGAGGGAGGTTGAGTCATGCACAGGGTGGAAGGACTGGACCACCCAGGAACCAACCACGCCTACAGCAATCTTCCCAGGGATACCAAAATCCTCCTCATGAAGAGCAAAGACCAGGGTTCCGACCCTTTAGGGAAGATTACAGGGATCCCATCGAAGGGGACCTTAACTGGGCAGAAGAAGACAGGCTTCAACAGTGGGAATCTGGCAGGCCTGGAAGTCTGGACCGACACCTGCCAAGGGTTGACTTGGACCCTCACATGCTCCGTCAGAGGGAGCACGGATGGATTGATAGGAAAACCAATATGACTGTTGCACCGGAGGAAACGCTAACCATCAAAGTGGACATGAGCCGACCCGTAAATGAAAACAGGTAGAGAATTTTGTAAATCAGATGATCAAGGGTGAGGGGTCAAAGTTCAAACATTCTTTTTCTAAACGTTTGAATCAAATAGAGGAAAGAAGCAGACAGTCATGAAGATACTAATAAATGTACATCTTCATGTCAACTAATATTCAGCTGGCTTTGGCTGAAGATGAACCAAGCACTGCCAGATGTTCACATGCAGTGTTGCTTATTAAGTACCTAGGCTCATACTCGCGCATACTCGTACATGTGCAGTGGAAATGAGACACTAAGTCATTATAGGGAATCAAGGTAAGTAAACTGATGCTACAGTATCTACTGCAGTTATCCCCTAGTCATAACAGTTTTATTCATTATCAATATACAACAACAAAGCGAGAACATTACCGCACAAGTTATCATTGACCAATAACAATCTGTTGGCTTCAATAAATACTGTTAGTTAACAAAGTTAAATGTTTGCTCCCTCAGTCCAGAGGAATATAGAAAAATAATTTCCAAGACTCAGAAAGGACCAGAGGCATTGGCAAAACAAAGTTAGGAACTTCAGCAGATGCGTGTGGAAAAGCTCAACAGTCCGACTAGTGTGATTATCGATAAGGTTCATTTGTTTGGAATATTTCCAGGCTTGAAACCACAAGAGGGTCAGAAAGAGTGAGAGCTGTAGCTAATGAAGAGAGAAATGTGGGGGGACCAGCTAGTGCTGAAGCAACAGGTCAAATGGACAAATACAGATGTAGGAGGAGGGCAAGTCAGCCTCGTTTCTGTTCTTCGCTGCCTCGTAGGGACACCCCCAGCCACCTACCCACCACTCAGCTTGTGCCAAAATACAAATTCTGTGGGAGCAACTGTACCTGAAATGTCTTCAATCATCAGCATTACTGGGGCAGGCATCTACCAAATCATATTATGTGCTTATTGGATCTTCTGATCAGGATGACCCACAGACGGTTCTTCAAGTCAAAACGTGAATCACATTAAAACTAGTAGATTGATGGAATTTTATAAAGAAGCAGATTTTTCTTCTTCTTCTCTGAAGACTCAAGAAACCCATTAAGTCTCTGAAGAAATCAGCTCCCGGTATAAATATTCATCACTGAAGCTGTGCTTTAAGGAGCATTTTGAAAAAGTGACTGTATGGTTGTAACATGCCGGGATCACCTGTTCAAATGAGAGAAGATACTCGGTGCCTGACGTGAAATAATTTACTGGTAATAAATGCATTATTGGAATGGAAACATTTGTTACTCTATCATCAGTCAAGATAGAGAAGAGCACGGAATCCGCATCAAAAACCAGATGAAAGGGAGCAATTAACGCTGGACAGCCTGAGAAGTGTTTGGCACCACCAGCTCTTTCAAAGGCAGTTGGAAAACTGGAAGAGGACATGGCTGATAGACATGAGGACATTCTGAACAGATTAAAGGTCAGCAGATGATCTGTTTCAAGGCAGTAGATAAAACTCCATCAAAACATGCTATTTATGTGTGATGTCTCTTGCAAGAATCTCAGAAGAAGCACAACTGTAAAATCTTACTTATGAATGAAGGTGAATGGGCTGCAGAAATGGAACTTGGCGGTCCTTGTGCACTGTGGATTTAGTGCCTTTCTGGAGGCCTGAACATCCCAAATAGCCAATTCCATTTTAGTTTCCTTGCCTAAAAAGCTGCTCTGAACCAGACTTGTTGTAAAAATGGGTTTGAAGGAACGCTGCTGTATCTCTTGTGGACACAAAACCTCAAGCATTTGAAACCAGTTTGACTGAAAATAAAGGAGCTGTGATTGCAGGTAAACAGTGTTCTGCAAAGTCTGTGAAGACCACAAGGACTGTCATTTTGTTAAAAAGCAACATCATCATTGGTGCCATAATGGCTGAGCTGATGAAATCACTTTCTGTGAACATGGAACAAAATTGAGCCCGACTGAAACTGATGAAGGAAAGGTTTGTTGATCACTGTGCTCAGAAGACCATAGAGCTGGCAGAGGGAGACTGTAAAAATGAAGATTTTCACATGTGCAAACTTTAACTGTTAGGCAGCATCACCTACCTCATGGCAGCAAATGTCTGGAAATAACTTGTCATAATGCCAGAGAGAAGACAATCATTAAATGAAGGATGTAAACAGCAGAAACTAATAATCTGGGTGTTCTGTAATGAGGGAAATAGAATCAATCAAGATGTTTGACAAGAAGAAGGGAAAAGCATTTTTGCACTTGACCAGAGCTTGTGGTCCATGAAGAACCTGTAATCATCTACTGGCTATAGGCCAGTTCGGAAGAACTCGTCTGCCAGGGTCAGGCAAAGTATCGACGTACTTTCCTTTGGAATATCAGGTAGTATTTATCTACCTGGCAGAGGGAGACTGTAAAAATGGCTGGTAGAAGGTCAACGCCTCCCCTAAATGGGCGACCATAAAAATTGTTTTTGGAACATTTTTTTTTTTTTTTTATTCAGTCATACAGTGAAGAGGATTCAAAGCATGTCCACTCTGAAGAAGCTAAGATGTATTCAGGTTCAGACAAATGTAAACTAAGGAGTCTTGTTTTCGTCCAGTGTTCTATAGGGACTGTTTGATCAAAAAAAATAAAATCACTTAAAGCAGAGTGTATTGAAGAATAGGACTTTTGAATCTCAAGTTATTTACCAAAGCAACTGGTAAAGACAAACTCGCCAAGCTCAAGCAAAGCCGGATTTCAGCTCCGTAATATAAACATAAATTCATACAGTTTGTTAAAGAATGGTAAATGGACATGTATAGTGCTATTCTATGCACTCAAGGCACTTTTACAGTATGTGCTCATTCTCCCACGCAAAATGGCAGTGGCCACCTGCAGCAACTTGGGCTTCAGTGTCTTGTCCAAGAACACATTGAATGTGGACTGGAGAAGCTGCGGATCCAAGTGCCAGCCCCTTTGGTTGGGGGACGACCCGCTCTACCTCCTGAGCAATGGCCAACATGAACACAGACGTTGGCAGTGTCATTAAAGTGAGAATTTGAAGCAAAAAACATATCAGTGCTGTTAAAAGGAGACAGAAGCATCTTCACTATTGTTAGAAGGAGAAAAGGCCACCACCAAAAAAGGAGAAAGCTGTGATCATAAGTATCAGTTTTGTTCAAAGGCATAAATCATCACGTGCTGAAAATCTGGAGCACTGGCAGTGCTGTTAAATAGAGAAATTAAAGACAAAAGTAAACCACTGCTATCTACGTCGAAAGATTAAAGAGGTAAACATTTCAAAAAGAGGACAAACCCAAGATGGTGACATCAACATCGTCAGTACTGTTGATCGGAGAAACCGAAGTGGTCAACATCTATAGCAATGAACTAAAAATCTATGGAGAAATTAAAATGGCACCAGTGCTGAGAAAATGAGGCCATAAATGCTGTGGAAAGGAAAAATTGATGAGCCAGAATATCCTGGATTCTTCTTGAAGTCAAGATAAGTGGCTCCACATGCTAAAGGAGGGTCGGTCAGATCCCAAAGAAACTGTAGGGCAATTTTGAACAAGGAGCCATCACTGAATGAGAACGGGCAGTATCACCTGTGGCAATTTGGGTGTTTCTACAGGAGTCACAAAACGCGACTGGAGTCTGTGAGCAGCTGAAGAATCTGAGGAGCTGACAAAGTCAACTCGAAGATTTAATGGGTTAAACAAGAATAGCGTGGACTCTCGCCCACTTAAACTTTAAAATGAAGCCTAAGTAGCCATAACAACATTAATTGGTATGATTGTGTACTTTTAAGTGTGAACATCCCCCTTTTTAGTCAACATATAGGATGTAGATATAAAGATCGTCAGGATTGGAGCCCACGAAAGTGGTAAGGTGAAGATGTTACTTTTATTTAACCTTTTTTACTTGGATGTAGCAGATTACACAGAGCAAGCTAGGTGGCATAACTGTATGTGTCTTCTCAACACACTACAAATCATCAAGGACTGCAGCGTGGCTTAAAATGTTCCGGTACTGTGCTGGAATTCCGACGCAAAGCCGGAGCCATGTTCGATTTGAAAATAGACAAATTAGACCTACTTTATTCATAAAAACCTTTGTTTACACTGTGGCTCAGTGAAGTCTCAGCATTATTAAAACATCACAGTGAATAGCATATTAGTTAAAAGACCGTTGGAAGAACATGCGTTGAAAGGTTTAAAAGATGTTGGAGATTCTTTATGGTTTTGAAAGTTGTGCTTGGATTTGGCTACACTTACCATACTACTGTTTCCGACTGAGGAAAGGGTGAGTAGATGATGCCTTTTTCACTAGGACCTTGACGTTAACATGAGGATTCACATGTAGAAACATCGGTTAGATTTGTGTCCTTGTTTTTCTGGAGCAGATTGTGATATGAACTGCTGTGTCAAAGTATATTCCTCTGTCTGGATGTTTTTCATTCTTTCTCATAGCCCCCAAACACATTTCAGGCACAAAAATTGTAAGCACTGCTGCAAAATGACCATTTTAACAAACATGAATGGCAGGTGTGAACTAATTCCCCATCTCCCTGTCAAAGTATCTGGATGAGAACATCCAGGAATTTCTTCTTCTCTGAGCAATATTCAGTTAAGGGGGGTTTTTACCTCTTGGCTGTTGTTTCCGACCTTGTGCTCTCTCCCCTGCAGCCTGCTGTGTTACTCCTCAGACAGGCAGCTCTCTTTAGATTTGGTCAACGTGGGTCGTCAGCGTCTGGACTTCCTGCCCATGTTGGAGCACTCTGGGACGTACCGAGAAACTGCCATGCACACTGGGACCTTTGCCCAGGAAATCATCACACTGGTGCATCAAGTCAAAGGTCAGTTGTGTTGTGATTTTACTGTGAAGACTATTTTTATTCAAAGTGATACCTGGCAAGATACACTGGTCATTTTTCAGAACCTCGTCGACAGCCATATTGGCCAGGTGTTTCTTGGACAGTAACTGCAGTGTTCGTAAAGCACAAATAATTGGCTTGTTAGCTTTTAAAGTGTCTGTCATGTGTTACAGAGCAGTACTTCAGAGATGATGGGGTCACCCTGAACGAGCGTTTCTCCACCCCCCCAAACGGCGGCCGCTCTGAAGAAGTGATGGAGGAGCTGACTTTGGATGAGAGGTTCAATTCAAACCGGTACGTTTTGAAAAATGGCACGACCTATAGATGGGTTTCCTGTTGGCAAAAATGCAAGGTAGCGTGTGCTAGTGCATTCTTATGTTTGCTTATCTTTTGGAGATTTTCATCATTTTTAAATAGTAATCGATGGAACAAAACCTCTGTGCAGTTTGGTTGTTTCTGACTCAGCTTGCATAAATAGTAAATACAAAACACACAAGTGGTGGAAGGGCTCAGAGAAGAAAAAAAAAACCTAAATTTGACTTCAAATAGTTGAGCATTTAGCAGCAGTAACTGTGCAGACAACAGAGAGGACTCAGGACCACAGGTCCCAGTGAGACCAGCAACTGTTGATTTAGAAGGTCATCACCTGGACTTGTATAGCACTTCAGTGTGAACAGAGGAGCTCAGTAAGATTTTGTGATTATTCTTTTGTTTCATTTGAGTTAATAAAAGTGTAATAGTGTGAAATAGGCACATATTGTTTGATTCAGTCGAAATAGTATTGTGGCAAACAGATCGCTGGCTTAGAGAATCGCTATAAGATTGTATTGTGTTAAAACCTGTGATTTACACCCCTGATACACAGTATCTGAAACACATCTTATGGAAATATTAGTTTAAATAAAATTAGATAATTTTAGCAAAAATGTCATCATGCATTCCACCCTCGAATCATAAGCTTGACCATAAGTGATAGTGAACCCACATTTTCTTAAACTTGCAAAAGTCAAGTTCTGTTTCCCTTTTTTTAAATCCTTCACCTCTCTGGATTTTCTCCTCTGCAGAGGCTTCAGCCTCAAAATGAAGTCACAGCTTGATGATGATGATGATGAGCCTCTGTTCAGACCTGGACATATGCAGGTGAGTAAAATCTTTGATACTTATTCTGCCTCGACACCTTGAATTCGGCACTTGTGCTGTTTATTAGAAGCAGGAACTGTGAAGTGAAACTACCCTCTCAGTGGCTTTGAATGAATTTCCTGAAAAACATGTTTAGGTTTTTGTTCTTCATCCTGTTAATGATGTACTGAAGGGTCCCAGCCAGCAGCCAGTGCGAGCCCCGGGGGATCTGAGGCATGACCTGGAGAGGAGGAGGCAGGAGAGGCTCGAGGGGGTTAAAGTCACGATACCAGGGAGCAGCATGTCCCTGCACCCGCTCAGGTCTGATAACATTCTTTCCTTCTTTACCTGCACAATCGTGCACAGAGACAGAGGTGCTTGTAAAACTGTTAAGCCAGTAGTAATAGTAATACTACAGTAGTGGTAATACTTTGAGTTCAGGTTACATGGAAATCGCTACACCTAGAATGTTTTGTGTTCATGTAAACAGTTTGCAAGTTGCTAATTTATCCTGTCAAACAAGATAATCAGTTAGATGAAGTCTGAGCTCCAAAGAATTTCCAACATCCCTCTTAACATTTTCTTTTATTTTATTGGGCACATAGTAAACACAACATATCAAATAAACATTACACAAACTACAGTAAAAACAAATCATGACTACTGATTATGAAGAGACAACTTGATAAGTGTAGGAAAGCCAATTTTAGTTTGTTTGGAAGTAGAAAAAGACAGTAGTGCCACTGGGGTAGGAGTGTGTTTGGCACATCTGTACTTAACTGAAAGTGACATTGTGAGAAATGCTAAAAACATGTCTGAGACTAGAGGAGGACATTTAGAAATGAAATGACACGTAACAAAAATGTCAAATGAATTAACTGAATGGACAGATTCAGTTTTTTCTATTGATTAGTCTGTTGATAATTAGTCAGTCACATTCTAACCCTGACCTTAAATATCAGCCCACAGTTCCATCCACTGCAGCATCAGTCTGCCGTGGTAAATCAGCTGCTGATGTATCTGGATACATTTCAGTCTGTCCTCCCTTATTTTGTGTCCCTCAACAGGAATGTCTTAAAATACAGGTTGCAATTTCTTAGCTTTTAATGACTCCAGTTTTCTGCATCTCTGTGTGTTCTGTCAGTGAGATGGATACCGAGTACAGAGACAAAGACGAGATGGAGGAGGGAGGATTTTCCAACCTGCCAGAGGATCAGAGCAAGAGGCGAGAAGCCAACATGGTGAGTGTTCACATGTTGGGTTACAGTGGAGCTTGACTGGTGACCTTTCACCTGTGTGACCCACCTGAGTTGGAGTACAGGTACTGTGGGGGGGCACAGTGACTCAGAGCTCTTATACGATCTGTCTGTAGGGACCAAGAAGAGGAGCTTCCTACAGACAGAACACCGGCCCCCAGCGCAGGAACAATCGCTCTGGTAACCGGCCTGGACAGATGAGGCGACAGAACAACCGCAGCAACCCTGCCGGTAAGTTGATGAACCCTGACCTGGCCACACAGCTGGCACTAACAGACGTGTTCAGAAACAGCATTTGTTTAGCGAAGGAAAACGCCTCGCAACTTGTGCTGATAACTAGGGCTGTAATTATGAGACACTAAGTCATAATTACTAGATAAAACATGACATTGTCAGTAGGTGTGCAACAGTACACAGGAATCGTGGTTCAGTTCAGTTTCAGGGAAAAAAAAGTCAGTCGTTTGGCCATTTTGACTTTTTTCCCTGAAACTGAAGTGAACCACGATTCCTGTGTACTGTTGCACACCTACTGACAATGTTATGTTTTATTCATGACGCGTTCTAGTTTCTGCTGAGCCGGAAACAGTTGATTATCTATAAAAAAATAGGAAGGATTCTCCAAGTAAAATCAGCACTGATATATTTTTTACTTGCAGCTATGACAAACAGTACTTTCACATCACCTTCCACCCTAATAACTGTGACGCATTTAGTCAGATTTCCTCTGTTGTGTAACCAGCCTGCAGGCTTCCCGCTCCTTCCTCTGGCGGTATGACCAACTTGTTGCGCATGTTCCCCCCACCCCCACTAATCAGCTGCTAATCATACCTGAGCTCATCCCATCTTGTTGCTGCTTCCTCCTCCATCAGATCCTCTTTAATTGTTCATGCTTATTCTTTCGGCACTGACTTCCTCCCTTTCTCTTTGCCTCTGCTGTTCATAGGTCCCAGCTGGTGATTGGACAACAGGAGAACAATACATCTCTTCATGACTGATTGGAAAAGCAAGCAAATAGTAAGAAATACTTTGTTCTCAAGGTGGGTTGGACTGAGCCTGATCAGCGGCACGGTGCTGACTTCTCTGACTGTGAGGGTCTGTTGAGGTCTCTGCAAATGAAAATGTTATTTCCAGCGCTGCAGACTTTAGTTCTACAACTCTGTTTCTGCAGAGGAGGATTAGGGCCACTGGAAAAAAAAGACTGCTCTGAACTCTGACTTACTTGTAAAGGTCAGATTTAAAATTAACTTTTTTTATTTTTTTTACAGTGGCCCTAATCCTCTTCCATAGCTCACACCTTTTTCTTTTTCCATTTTTGACTTGTCTTTCTGTAATTGCTTTTTTCCTGGTCTCATGCAGCTGCCTAGTGTTCATTTTTCTAAAGCTTATGTTTATTGGGATAATGTTGTCTAAAGCTGTGTTGTTAGATCCCTTACAGCAATGTTAAGTTGCAACAAAAACGTACACTATCCTTGTAACAAATCTGATTAGCAATTGTACGGTAGTTTGTTTTTTTGGGTGTTACCCAGTGATAGATAGTGAATGTACTATAGATGCTCCTCTGATTCGTGTTGTTTCACCTACACAGTGCAGTGTTATGTTTTACCAGCCTCACTGTCAGTGACATGTTGCTCATCAGCTATTGTCTAAATAAAAATTTTCCATTTCAGTTTTGTCTGAATTTTGTTTTGTTGGTTTCTGACTGGGAGTGAGTGTGGGGATAACAAATACGATAACTTGTACCAGATGTGCATTTTTTCAAGTCATTTTAGATGAGGTAAGTTTAAGGTTAACATGTAGTGAAGTAGAATGCCATAGTGCATTTTATTTCTTAGTTTTACTTGTCACTAGCTATGTTTTTTATACTCTAACAGATTCACCATGCACATTCCTGTTTGACTACAATACACAGTTGTATGGTTTCAAGTTGACACAAAATATAAAATAAACATGAACTCATGTTGAAGACCGTGTTTCTTATTTGGCACGTCTGATTGTAGTAGGCTATAACTATAGATATATGCTTGGCCTGACATTTACGATAGGGATAATGGCTGCGTCCGAAATCGCCTACTACCATACTGTATAGTAGGCGAAAAGCAGTAGGCGAGGCGAGTAGTATGTCCGGATTCGTAGTATTCCAAAAACAGTAAACGAAAAGTACCCGGATGACCTACTGCTTCCGGTTGGATTTTGCAGTGTGCATACGATGGACACTTCACTATCCCATGATGCCCCGGGAGAGGAGTTATCCAACGAAGAAGACGCTGCTATGAAAACGTATGTCACGTGATGTATCAACATGGCGGATGTAGTACGTCCGAATCTCATTCATACTACCAGGCTTCATACTATACAGTACCTACTGTTTTAATGGTCAGTAAGTAGGTACTTCATCTCTTTCAGTACGTACTGTCACAGTATGCGGTTTCGGACGCAGCCAATCACTTTATTTGGCCAAGCATATTACACACACAAGGAATTTGTTTCCGGTGCAGAACCGGAAACATGCTATAAACCATATTCTATCCCAGGGGTGCCCACACTTTTTCGCCTTGCGAGCTACTTTTCAAATGACCAAGTCAAAATGACCGACCTACACTAAAAATACTACACACACACACAAATATGTATGAATGAGTGTCGTAGTTTTTATGAACAGTCTGGAAGTGCCACTCCACATTTCCCTTCTTCTGAATAGTGATGGTAGATTGGTAGATCAAGCAAACTCATTTCGAATAGAACATCGCGAAAAATAAATCCTCCTCCCGTTCCGCATGGAATGTTTTTGGCTTCTTACTTGATTCGGCTCCCCCACTCATTTTATACCCTTTAGTAGAAATTAGTTCGAAGGCTAACAAGGTAGTTAGCTCACTGCAGTTTTGCAGTAGCTCGTGCGGTTGACTGTGCATGCTTGGTGACTCGTGTCAGAAAAGACAAGATCTCAGACTGGCTGCCCTGCATGTCAATCAAGTAGCAAATGCCATAGGGAGGATGGATGATAGGCTATATAAGAATGATTGTCACTTTCAGCTTTTCCCGTTAGGGGTCACCACAGCGAATCGTCACACTGACCATTCGCATGTTTTCATTTGCATAACACGTGTTTTATGCTGGATACATCTAATTTATTTTTGAATGGCACGCGATCTACCAACACTACTGTTAGATATTAGTAATTGTTAGACTATTATTATATATATGTATTAGTAATGCAGTTTAGTAAGATTCAAAGTCTGCTCTAGTCTGCTCTGTTTCAAGGTTAGAAAATAGAATGTTGATTCTGAAAAGTGTACCGTGACACCAATTGTTTTCTTGTATTAAATCTTGTGTTAAGTAAGTAAGTAAGTAAATTTTTATTTATATAGCACTTTTCACAGACAGAATCACAAAGTGCTTTACAAAGTCAAAAGATAAGACAAAACAAGATAGTAATACAATAAACATAAATAATATCCATAAAACCTAAAAGCTACTCACATAGTACAAAACAATTCATAAAGATGAATAAACCCAATCAATCAATGTTAGAATATTGTCTGAATGAATGCCTTAGCTAAGTGACAACACACACACACACATTGAAATTCCTCATTTTGTTATGACTAGGTAAAATCCAGCTGCTCCAAGCATGTGGAGCATAAGATAAGAGATGGAGTCATCGGACTGAGTCTGTCTCCTGATGTTCTGTAATCTTTTTGTGTAAGGGGTTAGCCCAAAACTTATAAATGTATTAGGCTCGGTGTGGCCAGAGCTCCTCTCTCCAGCAGCCAGAGTGTGTGTCTCTCTGGAGGAAGGAACAACCCGGGTCGTGTTTGTAATTTTACTTGTGGTTTAAAATTAATCAGCACTAAAATGCAGAAAGACGGACTCCTTCGTTTTTCAGATCTGTCCAATAAAAGAACTGGGGTATTACAACTTGGTGCCATGACCTTCGGAATTTGCTGAACTCTGAGCTGGATTCCAGTCGGGACTGAACGGATGCACAGATCAACAACTGTCGGCAGTACTAACAGGTGACAGGAGCCTTTTGCACATAATTCCTGCATATTGGATTTAACAACATTTAGTTGATCTGTGTGGACTGTAAATTCCCGATTTAAAAATTGAATGAGTACTGTAAAGATAATACTTTTATTTTGAAATGTTTTGATTGTTGTTTTTGCCACACGTAAAGTTGCAAGCAAATATTCTCATTTGAGGGATAGAAAAATAAGTGCCCTAGTTACAGAAATTGATGACTATAAGAGACGTAAAATTCACATTAATAAGTGGATAACCACAAATTTTGACGGTTGTCTCCTAAATTATTAGGATTTTTTGCCCCGATAGGAAGACTGGCTTGTTGAAGGCGGAAGTGGAAAGGAGGAGCCTTCTCCGAGTGCGGACTTCTCTGAGCATTCCTGAATGTCTAAATATTTATAAGACGGTCACTGCTAACTGTTAAATGATTGAGGGCACAGGGAAATATTTTTTATTTTTAATGCTTGTGTGGGTGGTTTGCTGCATGAAGGCTGTTGAACACTGTCACATGTGTATCTTAATAGCAGCAAGTGCTATTGAGAGAATCCCATGTGGAACAGTGTGTCTCGGGCAGACCTGTCTTTCGGGGCTGGGCATAGTCTATGGGAAAACTGTATTATAGCATTTAGGGTGACGGCGTATTCAGTCATTTAAAACAGAACTGTTGATTGGGAGAACCCCCAGTGATCGAGCGCATCAGAAAAAGTTCTGATGTAGGAGCTTCCCGTTTCAGATCACAGTTCTGGACAGAGATCATTTCAGTTGAAACGCCAGTCACGTGTGCATAATTTTCAATATGTCTGCAAATATTGTACAAGACTAGGAAAAGAGTAAACCTGACTCTTTGGGGTCAGTACTCTATAAGTTTCTGTCTAAATGGTTACATACAGTTCCTAAAGATGAGCAGGACACTGCAAGTGATAGGTTCATTACTTGGGTCCTCCAGATGCAAAGAAAAAGGATGTTTGGGGAGAGTGACAGTCCTCCCCCACAAGGGGATACTATGGGCTAGGAAAAGAGTAAACCTGACTCTTTGGGGTCAGTACTCTATAAGTTTCTGTCTAAATGGTTACATACAGTTCCTAAAGATGAGCAGGACACTGCAAGTGATAGGTTCATTACTTGGGTCCTCCAGATGCAAAGAAAGGGGATGTTTGGGGAGAGTGACAGTCCTCCCCCACAAGGGGATACTATGGGGCTGCTTTTGAAGCAAGCCTCTCTTGCTGTAGTGAAGGCTAGGCAGGAAGTTAAGACCTGTAACTTCTTCACAAAGAACAAAACAAGTCACATTAAAACAAGCTGAGGGTTTTCTTGCTGATTGTACATGTGTTTTGGAGAATTTCAGGTGTTTTCAGTCTCCTTCAGCCAGTTCAAGCAAGTCACAAGGACCAATTGATGTTAATTCTCCGAGTGGCACAGTAGTTCTAATGCAAGCTGCTGCCTCTGGCAGAGATTGCAAAGTACAATTCAGATACACACAGTTGTCTTCCCCACAATCTCCATGTGGAGAGCGGAAGCCGATATTGAAGAGTGGCTTATTTGGGCAG